TTTGTTTTTTTGATTGGCTGCATGTTACAGGTTTTTGTATGCGTTTGTACGGGTGTGCATGTTTGTGATCAGTATTACCTTGTTTGAATTCGGAAAGTGTGTCAGAATGGTTACTGGATATGTTATCAGGGTTTGACATTTTGGTATTTTCTGGTGTTGGTAAGGAAATGTCTAAGAATTTTGCTACTTGGTCTAGGGCAGTAGGAGAGGAATTTTTGGTGTTTTTGTTTGTTTTGTTTGACATGTTATTTGAGTATGGCTAGGAAAATTTGAATAAGTGATAAAGAGGAAGGTTTTTTAAATTTGTTTTTGGAATTTTAAATGTTTTGTTATATTTTTGGTTTTTAAATTTTATTGAGAGAAAGAAATAAAGAAATAAAGTGAAATAGAAAGAAAAATTTGTTATTGACGTGGAAAGTTTGAATTGCGAAGAGTTTTTTGTGTTGATTACAGTAAGAAAAGCGCTTCTTTTCTGTGTGGTTGAAGGAGTTTTCGTACTTGGAAATTTTGCTCCACCTGGCCAAGAGATCTGCAGGTGAGAGTTACGAAAAGAAGTTTTTATTATTGATTCTTTATTTATATTAATGACATTAATATTATTAATGAAATTGATCTATAAAATTAACACTATTAATGAAATTAATCTACAAAATTAATAATATTAATGAAATTGATCTACAAATCAATAATATGAGTACCACAAGTAATTATTATAAATATTGTCATGATATGATATTTAATGAACAATCTTATTGGATAAGATTTATATTAATTATTATTGGATTATATTTATTAGTATTTCTATTGGATAGTTATTTTTAGATAGTTATTATTTTATTGGATAATTATATGTTAGATATTATTGGTTCTTAAGTTTGTGTTAACACCAGTAACGATAGCAACGACAGCAATGATAGCAATGATGACAATGACATCAACACTCGTGTTAACACCAGAAACACCAATAACACTTGTGTTTAATTAACTTAACGACAACAACAATAGAATCAGTTATATCATATAACATGTAATTTATATAAATATACCATGTATCTTAGCTTAGAATAATAATCAATTAAGTCAAGTTAGATAGTTAATCAGTTTCTTGTTTGATAGAAACTTTGGATAACTTGTAAAGTTATATTTGTATTGGTTTTTGGTCTTAAAAGATAGATTGCTTATAATAAATCATTATTATTGACTTGAAAGACAGTTACTTGATAAAACTTATTACTTGTGTCATCATTTTTGAAATTCTAAATAATATACAAAACTTAGTGAAGTTATTGGACGTTATTCTAGCTCGTCACAACAAGAACACATGTTACTTATCTTTAGTGATAAATCTTAGTCTCTCCCATTATAAAGACTTAATCTTTTTCACTCTTATCTTAATAAAACATGTGATTAATATATCAAGAACTTAATATTAATAAATAATATATCAAGAACTTAATATTAATAAAAATGGTAACAATATATAATTAGTATAGTTTTTGAATTTTTATATTGTTATCATTTTACTTGGATTTCACATATATTATATCTTTCTACATGCTTAACATGTATTTCAAGTCAGGTGAAAGAAATAAAATAAATACTAAAGGTGATAATATATATTCATTAAATTACTAGTTAACTAAAAAGTAACTTAAGAAATCTTCTTACAATTTAATTTATATATAATATAATAATTATAATAATAGTTTATAGACAAGTAAAATATTATGAATTCAATTTATTAAATTATTTTAATGATATAATATTACAAATGTATGAGAGGTCAAATTATAAATATAATATTACAAACATATAAGAGATCATTAATATTACAAATATATAAGAAATTATTAACATAATATTACAAATATGTAAGAGGTTATAACAAAATTAATATAAAATTTTCAAACTTAAATAATGAAATAATAAAAAGAATATTTTAAATATTCTAAATATATTAATTTCAAAAGAGTATTATTATTAAAGAAGTTTATTTTTGAGTTATTAATATTTAGAACTTGACTGACTGATTAATTGACTAATTTTTTTAAGATAAAATATATATTTCTTTTATATAAAATTGTTAAATTAAAACTATCAATGATATTTACAAGAAAATTGCTCTTGATTACTTGCTTATTTACTTGTCTTGTGATTTAATATAAATATAAATTATCTAATATAATCTAAATAAATAATCTATATAATATTTGTAAATAATAATATAAATAATAATATAAATATAATACAAATAATATAATACGAGATATAAATATGAAGATTTTAACTAATTAAAATATAAATATGTATTCTCAAAATTATTCAATAAGATCAAATAATAATTTTGATTAATAATTAATATAAAATTTCATTATACAATATTATAAAAGTTATCATTTTAATACTAGATTCTCTGAACATATTTGTAATAAAACTTATTGAAATTATATTAAATAAAGAAATTATTATTATAATTTATAAATCTGTTTTTGAGATTGTATTACTGATAATATATTACTCATAAACTCATCTTTAATTTCATATTATTAATAATATGAATATTATTATAATATGAATTTTAGCATATTATATAACTTTTCATAGTTAATTTTTATTGGATAATTGATTTATAAATTATTTTCATATTTATTTTATATTATCTGTATTTATTTCATATTATTTTTATAATATTTCATTTTATTTTTATTATATTTCATACTATTATCATTTTATTTCATATTATTTTATTCTATTTTCATACTATTTTATTCTATATTTATATTATTTCATTCTATTTTTATATTATCTCATTCTATATTATTTATAATTCATACTAATCATATT